AAATATTGTGACAATGCGGACGCGTTATCAAGAGCGCCGATCGAAGGGCCAACGTGTCATGAAGAAGAATTCGACGAAATTCCAAATTTTAAAGATTATAAGAAAGAATTCGACACGAAAGAACCAGCAATCGAAATTGGACAGCTGTTCCTACAGATGGTGGAACAGAGAGAAAAACGTTTAAAGGTCACTTCTGCTACGGCGAATGAGTCGGCTGAAAACGAGGCAAAAGTGAACCGGGTAAAAAGCTGGTTGCCCGCTGTTAGCGACCTAAAGGTCACCGGACTTGACGCGGAATCCGAAGATCAAAATGGAAAGGTCACCGGACTCAGTGAACTAGCGGAGAATAGAGATGACCTTTGGGAAACGGATAGAGTTACACAAGCGCTGAACGAGTGTCCGATTAAGTTGCTGAGGTTTCCGAAACAGACGAAAAAGAGGTATAAGCCATTACCACGTTGTAAGGTCATCAAAGATTGGAATGAACTCAGTACGGCGACAGTCCGCATTGTCAACCTGCAAGGTGATGAAGAAGAGGAAGATGACTCGAACTTGCAGTTGCGTAATAAACAGTTGAAAGATCCCCATCTGGCAATGATAATAGATGAACTGGAACATCTACCAGATGCTGAAACGAGATCGAAATTTGAAGTTCATTACCAGTTGTGGAACGGCATACTATACCGAGTAAAGGATAAAAATGGGAAACTTGAAAGGTCATATGTGGTACCGTTGTCAATGCGAAGAGCGATAATCCACGCATTGCACGACGAGAAAGCTGCAGGACATTTGGGATTTGAAAAGACACTGTCAGCAATAAGACTGCGTTATTATTGGGACAGAATGAGTACTGATGTGAAGAATTACATACTCGCCTGTCAAGGATGCCAATTTCGCAAGACACCGAGGAAATGTCCACCCGGTAAACTACAGGAGATAAAAGTCGGACATCCGTTCTTCCGAGTGTATGCCGACCTGAAGGGACCACTGTTACCATCGAAGAAACGTGGATATAAGTACATAGCGGTGTTTATCGATCAGCTGACGAAATATGTGATCGCTGTACCGATGAAGACGGCAACGGCTAAAGGATTTGCAAAAGTAATCGTAAAGCATGTGATACTGGTACACGGGGCACCACACATCTTACACACGGATCGTGGACGACACTTCACAGCTGAAGTTTTGACAAAGGTCACCAATGTGTTTAAGATTAAACACACATTTGGAACGGCATACCATCCAGAAGGTCAAGGCCAAGTCGAAAGACAGATGCAGACGATTGCGGATGGCCTGGCGTAGTACTTGAAAGCGGGAAACGAAAGAAAGTTTAACAAGTACCTTCCATATGTTATTTCGGCGATGAACAGAGTCGTACACGCCACAACTGGATATTCAGCCTACTATATGCTACACGGCAGAGAAATGACAATGCCGGAAGATGTGGTCACAAAAACGAATATACCCGACGATTATGGGACTCCAGACGAATGGGTAGAGACCACGAAGAAGAACTTGACCTTTGCAGAAGAAGTGGCAAAATGCAATATCAAGGATGCTTACGAGCAGAACGCGGAAATTTACAACAAGAAGAAATCGGAGCCGAACTTTAAAGTGGGCGACCTTGTATTGATACGATTACCAAAGGATACGAAACAAGGGAAGAAAGAAAATCAATCAGACTTTAAGTCGAAATACGATAAAGTGTGGAAGATTCTGAGTTTCCCGCGAACAAATGAAGCTGAGGTGATTGAGCAGAACCCGAAGAAGGAAGCAGACTTAAAGGTGGTCTCGATCGACCGATTGAAGCTGTGGCATCCGCCATTACCTGAGAAGAAAGATTCGCAAAAAGTATCAGAGCGTACCTCGAATTTTTTCGAACCACCTCTGCTACCTGAAATGGAACAAGGAACAGTAGAACGAGAACGTACTCAAAAAGACTCGACAGAATCTTTTTTCGAACCACCTTTGCTTCCCGAAACGGAGAAAGCTAATGGAAAAGGAGATGAATCAGAGCGGAGTCCGAAAAATGACTCAGTCACACAACAGAAACCATTTTTCGAACCACGCTCTCTGCTACCTGACACAGGTAAACCAAAAAAGAAGAGAGGGAGACCGAGGAAAGAGGATAAAGACTTTGAGACAGCGGTTACAATAAAATTGAACGCGGAAGCTGGGAATCTGGCAGAAAGGTCACCGGAAACTGGTGACCTTCCTGTCACATTACCGAGCTGCCAGAACGATGGCGAAGTACCAGAGCGTATTTCCAAAAAGGACTTACAACAATCCTTTTTCGAACCACGCACTGCTACGGTGAATGATAATGACCTCATAGAAACGAGAAAAGAGGAAATAGAAGCGGTCAAATCAAAAGCTGAACAATTGGGCCGTGATATAGCGAAAGCCATCGAGGAGAGAAAGGCTAAACAGAAGAGAAAGAAATTGACTCCTACAGAATTGCTGACCCAGAAAGGTGAAGTTGAAGATGCGGCCGACAAAGAACTCCTTGATCGGATAACTAAAGGACGCAAAGAAAATCAACCCACATAAATACGAATAGGGGGTTACTTCACTAAAAATAGGAGTTGGGAAGGTGTAAAAAGGTCATCACCGTTAAAAAAGCTAACCAGTGTTGTTTCATTATTACAGAAGGTAAGCTCAGTTAATGGACAGATTGGAACGACAGAATTCAGAGAATTCGGATTCGGAAAGTATTGAAACCATCCGCTTAAAGACATCGACCCCAAAGAGAATGGAAGAATATGAGTATGACACTTCATACGGTGAAGGGTCGACGTCGTCAGTCGGAACGGCCAGAACGAACCAGGCCAGGAGGTTATTACGGCGGCCCGGGGTATTATGTGTATCACGATCCGGGACAGCCAACGATTATCAAGACACGGTTAACTGGGTGCACCACGGCTTATCTGCCGGAACCCAGTATTCGGGACAGATAACGAGCGCCCATTATCAATCGCATCCGGGATCGTATACCCCACTGATGGGACCACCGCAAGTGATGGGATCGGCAAGAATGTTGATGCCGCCACCGCAACAGACTACACCGAGTCGATTTATGGGACATGGAGGATTTGGCGGAATGTTAGCGACTCCAGTGCAGTCCCAAAGGGCGTCGCCGATCTTGCCACCCTTCCCGGAAACAGGAGGTTTGTCACTATCTAACATTGGAGCACCGCGGTTGAGAACGCCACAGCAATTGGGAGCGCAACGACCCATCGAAACTCGCCACAAAAGGGAGGGAGGCGAGGAGAAACCGGTTCGATTCACCACGACCGCGAGGCGTACTGCCGTCGCTGGGCCCAAATTTGGAGCAGGTCGGACCAGATGGTCTACGGGCAACGCCCCCGGGTGAACCAACCGTACATGATTATTCACCGAAACTCCCGCTAGACATGAAAGAGGATGACGCGCGATTAAATGTGATAGTGAGCAACGAAGAAGAACTGACAGCGGCTGATACAGTGGCCATCCGGGATTTCAACCGTATGTGTCGGGATCTCTATAGAATCCATATGCGAGTCGAAGACGAACATGCATTCTATGGGAGATTAATGAGTTTGGATGCGATTATTGAAGCAGTCCATATCGCGATGAAGGAGAAAACTAAAACTATTGAAGTTAAACGTAAAGAGCTAGCGATCAGAATTGCCTCGATGAAACAGTACCATCCGGCTTTAACCAACAGAAAATGGCCACCGATGATTGAGAAGATACAGATATTCCTTAAGACGATTCCTAAAGAGAGAGGACCCTCGACAAGCAGCGCAGCGGGGCCATCACAGGCATTAGTTGAAGCACCCGTAGAGGAGATGTCAGATAGTGTTCTCCTAGACGCAAAGCGAAAAATCGAGGCGGAACTCACCGAACGAGCAGAAAGGTCACGGGCCAGCTCTACTGCAGGGTCAGCACGCGGACGTACCAGTTCGGTTACGGAGCCGTCTAGCGGGACCGTAAAAAGCGGAAAAAGAGTAAATTCACCGACGACCAGTCCAAAAGAAAGTGACAAGAAAGAGCAGCGGACGAAAAAGGTCACGACGAGTAAAGCACCGATCCCAGTGGGTAGAAAGAGCGTACCACCCACGCCGTTGGATCCAGAAGCCGCTTCAGTTCGATTCCCGAAGTGTCGGACTTTTACGGTCAAATACACTGGAACTGACCATAACGAACGAAAGGTCACCGCTCGGATAGTCGATAAAAAGACGAATAAGGAGATCGACTCATACAACCCTATGGCAGATAAGTCAGTCAAAACTGAGATTGGAGAAAGGTCAAAGACAGAGGTTAATGAGGCGTTACAGTTCATTCCCCCGGAAGAGCGCCATAATCCGAGAGTCCTGATTCAGATGATGAAACACGTGGTGTCCAAAGTCGCGACCGAGGAAAACGCGTGGATCCGTATTATGGTGGGCACAAATGACGACCACCTGGCATATACATATACAGTGGATGGGAAACTGATGACGAAAGAGAGAATTCGGCCAAAATCGACAGCAGATCCAGACCCCAATAAGCGAACGTTGGACGATTATGAGTCGACCATGAAATATACCGATGGAACGTGCAGAAAAGTGACACTGACAATCCATTTCGGCGACGGGACAACGGATTGTTTAACCGCAGTAATCGTCGACCCGATCACAGGAGATCCGATTCCATACGCTCCATGGGACGTGTCAGAAGAAAGCGCCGAGCACGCCAATCGGGCAGCACTTGAACAGTTGTGGAACTTGATACCAGTGAGCGAACGTCAAGATCCTTTAGTTCAAGCGAATACGCTGATCAGCATGATGCGACATCGAGCGGAGATAGACGAAGCCCATTTCCGACTCACAAGAAAAATGGAAAACGGAGCGTACAAGACGGTGTTTTATGACGCGAAGAAAAACCCCTTATGAGATCGTCACACAGGACAAACGAAAGAAACACCGCACTTGGAAAGTCAGGCCCTAGATCCGGCACAGGAAAGTGGAGCCGGAGAGATGGCAGAGGCCTCCGTAGCCGAAGCGGCAGGAACGGAGAGTACCCGACGACCATCGAACCAGGATGATTCAGAAGAGGAGGAAGTTAGTGACGATTCGGCAGAAGGACCGGCCGACGAAGAGAAGGAACTGGATGAGGAAGATAATCCGCCTCCAAAAGTGGTCATTACACCGAGGAAAACGGCTAAATTGGATGAAGCCATGAACCGTGAAAGGGCTAAGAAAGGCGACTTCCTAAAGAAACGAAAGGAAGATGAAGATACGAAGAAAAAGAGCGGTGATGAAAGCGAAAGCACAAATACCCGGAGGCAAAAAGGAGAGAGGAAGAAAAAAGACGAACCGCCCTCTCATGATGTCGAAATATTGGAAGAATCAGTTGGAAACATTGAAGAAAAGTCATCCACACCTATAATCCCGAAGAAATTTGTCATTGAATCGGCTACATCGTCGAAGTTAAAGGTCACCGAGCCTGAGCCGTCAACATCCAAAGGAAAGGTCATAGCTGTGAAACAGATTGTCCCAGTGGTTATCTCGGCATCTACTACGAAGGAACGCAAGGAGAAAGGAAAGCGTGAGAAGGCAAAACGAGAAATGTCTCGTGAATCAGAAGCTTCGGAAGTAAGCCTTCCAAGTACTTCGACGGTTAGCACGAGATCACATACGGACCCGAAAACGACTAGATCAAGAACCGTGGAACCAGGAAGCCTAGCGGAGGCTCTGGAAAAAGGGAAAAAAGCAAAGAGCGAACCCGTCAAATCGAAAAAGAAAGGGAAAGAGGCCATGAAAATTGACGCACTGGCAATGGCCAACTATATCGAACCGGATGGAGAAAGTGAACTTGATTATTCGGGAGATGAAGCGGAATTTGAAGACCCAGACAGCGATAACTTGACCACGACTGACGAAATCATTGATGCGTTCGATGGAGCGGAGAAGAATTTTACACGGATACGAACGACATCAGTAACATCAAAATTCAGAACGGGCTTAAAGAAATACTTGAGAAAAGAAATGCACCGTAGCTTCACCAAACAGAAGTTTGATGTGGTATTGGAATACGCTCGGAATGCGGGGAAACTTATTCAGAAACACCCGAACTTCGCGTATAAGGCTAAACTATTCAGGCCGTCAAGTGCGGACAAGTCGCTGACGACTCCAAACGAAGATACCTCAATGCGAGTAGAAAGGGCAGTCGCGGGAATGACAAGCCCGTTGGGGTCAACGAGTCACCGGATCAGCCAATACATTAATGCCGTGTGGAATGACGGAAAGGGATTGATAAAGGAAATCGACACGGCCACTGAACGCGTGTTGCCCAGGATGATAAAACGGAACATCCTTTCCACAACGAACGCACAAAAAGGTTATCCGATTCGATATACGAGAGTAGGCCTGATACCGCCGGAAAAACAAGTTCACTGTAATATGTCCGACAGTCAGGAGATGGATAAAGTTCCATCGAGCGGAGATCCAACAACTCCCATATTAAATCGGATCGCACAGTTAACAGCTGACGAAGAAGCCGCCCAGGCTTCTTCTAAGAAAGCGACGAAAAAGAAAGGACCGATGGACGTGGAATCGGAGGAGAGTGACGACGACACCTCTGCTGTCCCAACGCTACTGGAACCAGTGACAGAAAAGCCTAAAGGTCAAGAAACATCTGAAACTGCGACGGAAGAAATTCAACCGAAAGGTCACGGGACTTCAGAAGAAGGGGAGAAAGCAAAGGTCATGCTCCCAATGGACAAGGCAGCGGCAGAAGCAGAAGCTGCATCTGCGCGACAGGTGTACCAGAAATCATTGTTCGCACCATTGAAGGAGGCTTTTGAGAAAGAGCGATCGAAGTCGGCAGGTGAAGTGGGAGGTCATGAGACTCTGCCACAGAAAGAGAAAGCCGATGAACCGAAATCTGCTCAGTCATCATCTGGCTCAATGGCAAAACTGACGATTGATGAAATGGAGACAACTGACCCAACGGACTCGGCAATATCCCCCCAGAAAACGGAGACTAGCGGTATAAAAACGAAAGAGCCGACAGATTACACGTTAGGAGCACCGTTGGACGTGAATAACCGAACATGGAACGAAGTCCAGGCGGCGATTCAGATTACCAGAGAACACGAGATGCTCGGGACGGAACTGAAAAGACAAGTCGCCGAAAATTCCAAAGGAAGATCGTCACTCAGCATGAGTGAGCGAGTCCTTAAACGAGCGTATAAGGAAGGAAAGTTGGGATGCAAATATAACAAGGACAACAAAGTTATTTACTACCTTCCGAAACAGGGCACGGACCGCACACCCAGACTTAAAATGGAGCTGGAGGCCTGGAAGATAGCCATCACAGATGTGGCTTTGGACGCCATTGGCGGTACCAATGGAGCGTCTTGGAATGACCTTTCGAACTTCATGGCCGTCCATTATGAATTGGGAGAATTGAATATTGAAAATGATAAAGAGTGGATCAAAAACGCCGTTGAAGCTCTGATCGCGGAAAACGCACTGCATATTAACAAGGACGGCCGAGTTGACTTCAGGCCGTATAACCCGCCGGCGAAAGAGTCTGAATAAATGGGACGAGTGTAATAGGCAGCGAGTAATGAACCCTGCTTATTACAGAAAGCATAAAATAGTTAAAACAAATGAGAAAAGCTTTATGGAAAATTGAAAGTGAAGAGGTCAACGCGAGAAGTAGCAGCGATAAGACTAATAGAAAAGGTCACAGTAGTCAGAAAGTGCTGATAACGTGAGAAAGGTCACCACGTTATAGCGATAGAGAGGGACACAGGAGCTAGGAAAGTCTCAGCTCAGTAACGGAATAGGCGTAAAAATGATAGAGAAGCCTTGATAATGGATAAGAATGGAAACGATTTACACAGAAAGGTTACTATGATGGATTGTTTTAATTGCAGATTTTAAACGGAAAGATGGCACAAAAAGGTCAAGCCAACCGACGAAGCCAGGGAACACTTCAAACGGACGTCGATCAGTCTACGGGCTATAACCCAAGGTGTCCGGACTGCTTTCGCAATAACAGAAAGGTCGATAAGAAGTTCCCGTGCTACGCATGTGTCCACAAGTTGGGAGACCCACATATTGTTTCACTCATGGGATTAATGGAAGCCAAACGAGGGAACATGGACGTTTTTCGAAACCTCATCAGCGCGAGGAATTACGGTAGCATTCCAGTGGAAGAACGAATGCTACTCGAGGATCGTTACCGGGAAGCGATCCAGAACAACGAAAGTGGCTGGGACGAGACTCTGGAGCCATTGAAATGCCCACAAACGGATGCATACCGTAAGAAGTTTGAGGAGGATCAGGAGAAGATGCGACGACAACAGTTGGAGGTTGAACTCCGAGCGAAGATTAATGCGGCGAATCAAAAGGCGAGCGAACAGGCCGCACGGGAGGCGCTGCCCAATCCGTCGAGCTCGACTGTACCGACAGCCAGCCTCAATGAAGACGAAGCACAGCTGATACGCCAGTCGCTCATCATTCAAATCGACACGCTGACGAGTGATCCGGCTGCCATGCAACAGGATTTGTTCGATGCGCTGTTGCGGGAAAAGTTGAGACTGCAGAAGGGTTTCGCTCCCGCGCCATACATAAAGAAGGCAGTCGAAGAACGTATGGAAGTGCTGCGCAGATCCCGTCAAAACGAAAGTAATGTACTGCAAGCGCTTAGAGGATTTAGACGAGATGACGGGTTTACACGACCTCGTTCGCCTCCGCATAGAGAAAGGTCACGCGGACATTCACGCGAACATGAGCGGACTTCGGAAAGACGAAGCGAACGGTCACGTGAACACTCCCGCGAAAGGACACGGGATTATTGTAGTGAAAGGTCACGCGAACGTTCCCGCGATCGCGATTATCGTGGCGGAAGAGGCTGGGTGCGTCATGGAAACGAGATAACTGAGACGAGTATTCAGCGCAAAATCGATACGGCAAAGATTTTAGCAGCGACAAGAGGACGTGAGGAACAACGGCGTGCGGAGACTTACCGCACAGAGCCTGAAAAGAAAGGTCATCAGGTGCCGTTGGAAGTTGGATTCCGTAACCGCAACGTTAGAATGTCAACACCTGAAAGGTCATGGGATAAAAGACGCGAACACACGCGAAATCGAACACCAGACCCACAGGATAAACGCTGGCAGGAAAGAGCCAGGTATTATGCGGGTTTTGAATCTAGCGCCAGTAAAAGGTCATCGAGCGCAGAAAGGGAAGACTCACCCCCAAAGTATCAAAGAATGGAGTCAACTGTCCATGTGGTGGACCCAATTATTAGCGCTGCTCAAGACGATGACCCAATGGAAGGAGCTAGTTCAATTGCAGAAGCGTCCCAAGCAAATGTGACGCATCGACGAAACGTAATTCTGGACAGCGACCTCCAACCGGCCACACCGGCGAGTAATGAACCGCCGCAGGCAGAATCAGGAGAACGAAGCGCACAAGAAAGTCAGCGCGAACCGGATGAACGTCGCGAAGTTGATCGGCGAACGACTTCTCGATTCAATAACCGACACCCCGACACAATCGATATGGTATACGACATGCGCGACACCGATGAACAAAAGACAGAAATTTGCCGATACATGGGGATCGAAGACGATTCGGCGGATGCGAATAAGATCCATACAATTCTGAACCAGCTGCGTCAATTTTTATTCGATTCGGGCTATGCGAAAGAAATTAAAGAGGGAGTGGAACAAGGAAGCTTCCGTCAATTATACATTCCCCGCGATTCAGCAAGGGATTGTTACCTCCCTGTCCGACGAAACGGATTACATAGTCTGCTGGATTTGAATTTGTTGGACGTGCCACTGGATACGACTGACCCAGTCGGGATGACACAATTCTATTATAGAGATTATCCCGAACGACAAGAATATGTGGCTCAGTTTGTTTTACGACACGTGAATCCAGCCTTCAAGTTGCTCGCAGCAAGAGCATCGATCGGACTACAAGTGGATCCTAAAGACCATGCCGCAAGAAGGATGGGGCAAAAGGTTTTTGCTGCGAGATTGGCACATTATAAGACACATAACCAGTTGGTGTCCAATACAATGAAGGACGATATCCCACCACTCTTTCGACCTCACGTGGCGAAATTGGGCGAACCTATGGAACATGTTGGAATAGCCCATACGGCAAGAAAGGCGCTGAAAAAGTGTAAGATAAGAATGGAAAAGGGCAATCTTACACAACGCCATGCCTCCCAGGTTGAAGAGAGGATTAATAAGATCAAAGACACCATGGGAAGTGACTACGTCGAACCTTTTGACGGAGTTGAAATGTACGTCGACGAATTCCTTGTAAAGAAAAGTGATCGACGCCCGGAACGCGCTCCTAACCAGATAGGACGGCGCGGCCTAAGAAACCAGCAACTCCGCGATAACCTCGCCGACGTGCAACGGAGACTGGCGGATGACCCTAATAACCGGAGACTCCGGTTAGAAGAAAATGACGCGCGTCATCGAGTTGAGGCGGTTAAGCGCAGTCGCCAAGGGAAAGGTCGTGGCCAGCGGGAAGTTGACCCGACAAAGGTCATCGGAGTTGATGTAACGGGACCGGTCGACCGAACATCTGACCGCAATCAACCGGAAAGTTCTAAGAAGCGCCCGCCAAGAGATGGCGAGGACGATTCAAATGAAATGGAATAGTGTTGATCGTTAGGATCACACTATTAAAAAGGGCGTCTACGGCAATTGTCGGTACGTCACAAGAATGAGAAATGGTGTTGTATAAAGGCGACGTGACTTGTTCACATAAACTGTATTCGTGTATTGTTGTTTTCAGCGTTTATAGCACAGAATTGCCTGAAAGAAATCATGTGGAGCATCTATTGGGGTTGAAATTGATCCGGTCTATAAAGCCGGCCCCAAGGGAGTTGTTACGGCAATTAGCCGGCTCACCTCCTTAAGCGATTCAGTGTTATAAATTTGCAAGAGAAACTACGGTAATCAAGCCGGATCTCTTGAATACGAAAGCGGGCCACAAGCGGCGAAAAAGAGAAAGACAACAGGTGGAAATTTTAATGGGGTAAACTTGATGCGGCAGTCAGCCGGCCTCATTAGAGTTGCTACGGTAAACTATGCCGGCAATCTCTCCCAAGCGAATCAGTGTTATAAGTCAACGAGAGAAATAGCGGTAACCAAGCCGGATCTCTCGTACGGAAGCTGGGCCACAAGCGGCGAACAAGAGTAAAAGATTTAATGTGGAAGCGTCATGGGGTAAATTTAATGCGGTAGTTAGCCGGCCCCATCAGAGATGTTACGGTAAACTCTGCCGGCATTCTGGCCGCTCGAGGCATATTGAAGTGGGATGTGCGACGGAAAGGTCAACCTGCAAGTTCTACCAGGGAGGCAAGCGAAGAAGCGCTTGACGGCCGCAGAAAATTGGCTAAGTTCCTCCATGACCTTTAATGGAAGTTGAAGAAAAGTTGGATGACCTTTGGGATCATTACCGCCCAAGAGAGTCACCGTATTAGAATTCAAGTCGCATGACCTTTTGGGACCATTAACCCAAATGAGTCGCACATCCCGGATCATCTCAACAGAAAGATGACCTTATCAGGGAGGAAGCGAACTACGCTTGTCTGCATGACGTCCCTCCATGACTTTTATGGATCTCATTTGAAAGTCGTACAATTGATACGCACCTTATTCCAAAGAATGAAGCAGTATTCCTAAGTCGTACTTGATACGCACCTGATTCTCAAGCGGATTGTGATGAAAGTCGCACTATGGATGCGCGGAATTGCTCAAGCGAGCGGAATGGGCCAAAGTGCGGAAAACGGTGGACAGGACCTGTGACCTTTACGAGTCAGAAATGGAGGATCCTAGTCTACATTTGATTAATACTTTTGTTGATCTTATAACTGTTGATCTGTTTTTGTATTAGAATTGATACGGAATAGTATTTTAATACAGATCTCTTTATTTCACATTGTGCATTTGGAATTATGTGATTAAATGGATTAAGAGATTTGATGTTTTTGAGCACGCACAGACACCGGCGACCGCCGTCTTTTCGTGGATTCGGGAGTATGTTCAGCCTCAACGGAGCTCGGCATCCCCCCAGAGGCATGTGAGCGGGGGTTCACTAGCGTTCACGTCCGCGACGCTACGCCAGCTGGATTACGTGTCTGTGTTGTGTCTCGCTCTGATTGGCTAGTGGGCGCGGCTTAGCACGTGCTGCACAGTGTTACACACTGTTGAATAGGCTCTACGATTTGCGATCGAGCTGCGCCGATCACTTGTTGATTTCTGGTCTCCAGACTTTCAATATTATTAAAAGTCAGCGATTATGGTGCGACGTTTTGTGTTTCCGCATAGCTCGCAATCCAGATCGTATTGCTCACTCCACGGGATAGATTCCGTTTCTGTCTCCGTCCCTGGATCCATTCTGGATCTAGCTTTAGACCAGTTTACTGTGCGGCCAGATCCCAGGCCTAACTTTATTAGTACGTCCCGTACGAATGGACGAAAGACCAAAACTAAAATCAGGTTTAGAAACAGAATGGGCATCTTCCGATCTTCCGATAAATGTGTCTAGTCATGCTACGCTCATGGTGAGCTAGCTGGTCAGAACAGGTAATCACACATGGTGAACCGCTTAGACAACATTCATACGCTTTAATATACGTTGCTATGTCACATCATCACACACAAATAAATTCCTCCATGTTGGTTGTTACAGTTACAATTGTACAGTCTGCAAAAATCAACTTGTCCACCAGTTAAGTTATGTATCTGAAGTACAACTGCAGCCAACGAAAAATTTTGCTTTGTACCAAGAATGTTGCCACCAATTCCAGTGAATTCCTGCTAAAAATGAATCAAGTAGTAAATGATGTACATCATGTATAAGGCAATCACCCCTTTATATGCATGAATGGATGCGATCGGCCGGCAGGCTTCCTCTGAACATTCGGCGCACTTTTCGCCAGTGGAATCCAGTTCCGTTGAAGGATGGCTATTCAGCGTGCTCCCCATCTCCTCATCCGAATCAGCCGCAATTTTGTCGTAATCTTCACCAAATGGTGCCAAGCAAGTCCAGAACACACCGGCGACAATGGAGTGGAACAGGAAAACAAAGCCGATCCATCCGTAAAACCCCAGAATAACCGGGCGCATCGATGCTCCCCACGATTCCACAGCTTTTACGAAGGTCCTCCGGAATCCGTTAATTCTCCCTTTGTAGGGATTCAAAGGGGCTTCCGTTTGGCTATATTCTTCCGGAGCCAGTGTTCCGTTTACCACGAGTTCGTTCCGCGGCATCACGGAGCCATTCCCAAAGTACGGTCAAAAGGGGAGCGCCGACCTGAATTTGCGAAAACGAAAAAGCAGGTCCGGTTTCACCAGCAGCAGACCAAGGGTGGCTAGCAGTGCCAACAGGATTCGTATCACTAGCAGATCCGTACCACCCACGTGTCGGTAGCATTTCCGGCTGAGAAAAAACAATTTCAAGTGGAAATGAACGGCGAGGACGAGCAGAGAGACAGACAGGGCAGTAGAGATGGGCGTACCAGGGTGTACCAGAGCGGACCGACCATAAACTGCAATGTACAACTGATGTCTTGCATGGATGACTTTTCTTTTCTAACCAAAGCGTTCCTATGCCTAGTATAGCTGCCCGCTATAATCTTACTCGCGCAAATAGAGAACACCACATTAATGCCTAATAATATGGAGCATATGTTTTCTGTCTCGTTAACAAGGAGGTACAAATGCAAACAATCATACAGTGCAACTCACCAAATGCAGCAAAGGGAACATACAATCATGTACTGAATTAACCTGAAGGCCAGAAACGTGCAGTATAGCATACGGGCCGATACGACCATGCGCTATTAAATTTTAATACGAACACCAATTTATAAATCACAAATACGGCAGCAATAGCGATTTCGTGTTTTTGTCAAACGCTTCTTCAGTTATTTTTGTCGTGAAAAGGTTTAAAATAAAAAAATAAAACCTTATGCATCTTTCGTAATACGTAGAAGTATATTAACTGCCAATCAATGGAATTTCCACTTGTCTTTTAACTGAATCTTTGGGAAACACTATAATGTTGAAATAATACTAAATATGAAGGTTTTTACTACTTTTTTCACTTTGCAAAATTCAACTTACGTTCGCAAATCAGTGTAGTTATGGCATTGGCAGTAGCAACGGCCGCATTGATCCCTCCAATAACCAGGAAGATTTTGGTCAGAGTAAATTTACCGAGAGAACGCGACGCTTTCAAGGGAGTCATGCAGGTATAGACGGACCTTCGATATCACAGCAGAAATCGAATGCTCGAGTGAAACAACGCCAGATTTAAAAAATATTGTACCAGCTGTGCAAACGCGCGTGTTACGATCGGCAATCAAATCCGAGTGATGCTGCGCCGATTGCGTGTTTGTTGTCTATCGTGCTTATATATTATACCATCGAAGGGCTCTTGACTGTGTAAACCGGTTTGTAACAGCACCGTGTTGTTCAACCAGTTTACGCTTGTAAAAGAATAATGCCGTGTAACGGTTGTGAATCATCCGAAATTAAAGTAGAGACACCGTGTACTGCCAATATCACTGACATCATTGTGATCATGGGCCATTGGATGCGAGTTAAGACACCGGCGATTGCTTGGGTTAACGAGCGAGAATTTACGCGCGCATGATCTCATGCGACCACCACTTTGTCTACAAACTGGTAATGATCGTATTACGAAAGTGGCGGAGACTCGGTGTGGAGTGTGAACATACCTTGATCTTGATGATTCACGAGCGCACTTACGGAAAGATGTACATGTAAAAGCCATTACAGTGAACTGCTACGACATCTCCAGTAATGGTGCGATGCACTCTTGCTGCGGTTGCCAACTTGTAACTGAACGCTGAAATTAATTACCGAAAAAGTATCAAATAAATATAAAAAAAGAGCCAGCAAAACGTTTCCGGAACTTTTCGATGGTGCAGTGTGCCTTGCCGAGAATTGGGGCAGTTACATAAAATAAAATGAAAAATAATCTCGTACGCAATTTGCAGTTTATTTGCACTTCCGCTGTTCGCTTCCGCAGTGTTAAGTGTACCTGTTTATGGCGAAGCTTAAAAGAGTTTTAAACGTGACCTTTTATTATATTATAGTCAAAAGCCAGACGCTTGTTAGGGGGGCAGGATAGTGGGGTTAATTAGTTACATATAACTGCCCCTTTGAAAATTCACAAACTACCACTTCCTTTCGGGCGATTTCGCAACGTGTTGCATGGTTTCAACGGGATTAGGCGTCTGCGGCTTGACATGGTTGCTTGATTCCCAACAGACATAAGAAATTGGAATCAATGCAGACAGTATCCAGTGTAACGTAACCATCTTTCTGATTACTGGACGTGGTCAGTGCTTTGTATGCGCTTAAACGATATTAGGCCGAATTTGAACGCATCATGGGGCATTCTGCCCTACTACAGTAATAAGGGTAATAAGGATGTTGTGTTATACGTATAAACTACCTTCTCTGCTACAGCCGTTGCCGTATAGGTTTCGAAACTCTGACAAAAAGACCCGGATATTTTCTCTGGCAGACACCACTTCTTCGATGTTTCACGGCCGGAACTCGGCTTCGGGGATTCGCTAGTCAGCGAAAACTTTGGATGTGATGTGTGGCTAAGCCGCATGTCTCGCTGTTTTGACACTAAGAATCAACGTCACTCTTCAGAATGTTATAAAAACTACCGTAATGGGTGTAAGGATATGCCAGCTATGACTCCGGATGTTGCTCTTTTTGCCTAACTATCCGCTCCGTATTATGCCCTCTCCGACCGTAATTTTCCCGGCACGTACCAAAGCTGATCTGATTGTAGATGCAGTTTGCCTGTAATATCGCTTACAGTACCCCAATTTGCATAGTACCACGTTTTAGTCACATATATGTATATATAATTGCACTTCCTGGTAGACCCGTCGTAAATGCGGCTGCTGTCGCTTTATGGGCGGTACGTTATCAGTTGACCTGGGCTCAAGCCAGTTAAAGTTCGGAGTACAGCAGTTCATGTATGGAACTACGGAATGTCACTTTCCACAGCCTCGTCCTCTGAAGCTCAAATTGTTAATTGTTACGGTTGGAAAAGTTTCGATTATTTCAAATTTATGATGTACCGATCTCTACCATATTATGTATTATAAGATTACAACTTTGGTAAGCTTGCATCGTTGTCATTGCCGGTACTCGGACCTTACTCCCAATCATGTTTGTACAACGTTCCACAGCATAGCACATACTTCATGATACATGAATATTTGTTTATTTACAATATGTGATCGCTGAGCTAGTTACAGAAAGCGGAAGATTGGTATCATAAGGTTAATCTGTCGCTGTAATCTGTAACGGCCCACATGATAACAGCATAATGTGCACCCTGAGAATTTTCTTGGTCAACAGCATTCAGTCATAACAAAGCCGGCTCTGCGGAAAACTGCAGGAAACGTTGACAGTAACCTGAATCAATTCCCAACTTACTATGTAAACCGTTAATTTATTTTTTTCGTGATTGTGCTGCCTATTCGTCAATCTTCTACGTTTCTGTACGGTGTCGCGGGGTAATCAGCTGCATGCTGTGGAGTCACGACAAATGTGCTGGTCATAATAAAACCACAAAGTATTTCGACTTCGGATTTTGGAAAAATTTTTTATCTCACTGTGACGATTGGCGTTGTACTTCAATGTAAACCACGTTATTCAGATGGACCCCGCGTCGGACTCAAGATTTTCCACAGATTGTGACTCAAATGGTGGGGCATGTATCAAAACAGCTGGGATATGGTGTCCATCTGCAGCTGACAGAATTTCGCACATCCATACGGAGGGAAAAACAGCGGTCAAACCGAAAATGACACTTGCCAGTTCACCGCTTACTTCACTGATACCGGAAATCGCACCTCACAAGGTTAAGTACAGATTACAGAACTGCAACTAGTGAGGTCCAGTCTGAAAATAAGGCTTTTAAAAACCGCGGAAATAATTACAGTAATTATACCGAATCAAACACTGCAAAGTGCTGTCATAAGTTTAAAGTCCTTTTTCCGATAGCCTTATATGATGGATGCAGCCATGCATGCACGCTTCACACTTTGACCCGCCGTTCATTTTTTATGGATAAAAAGCTTTGTTATTCGTTTTTCATTTCTCGATAGAAGGCTGCAGCCAGGCGTAAGTTGGTTTTAGAGAAACAAAATTGATATGCAGAATTCGTCGTATGTGTGACGATTTTGAGCTTTGTGAATTGTTTCTCGTGATGATAACGATTAACGATAAAGTAGCGACTTCTGGATACTGCCAGATAGTTTAGCAGATATTAAAGTTAAAGTTAATAAAAAAACTGCTTTTCAGTATTACGCCATGCAACGAGGACCAATAACGGCACACCAACCCGGCACCAGCAGCCCTTCGTCTCCGATTGCAGCTGAACGGTCTCCAAAAACGTGGACGAATGGCTTCGTGCACACCCAAATGCATCACTCCAACCATCATCTTTCGGGGACGCCACACCAAGTCCCCAAGCAGTCCAGGCACCAACAGCCCCTTCTACTTCATTATTCGGATCACCAGCACACCCGTACGCGAACCCGGTCGAGCTCTAATCGGCAGAATTTGGCTACAGATACACCCGCTTCTGGTCAAAATGGACAGGAAACACACCGAGAGAGATACGTTCATGATACCGAAGCTAACTGTGGCGTTCCCGTTACGGCTTCTGGATTTGGCAGTATCAGTAACTATTCCGTGAACCCTGTTGCGGCGTTCAACCACGGTTTAGCGTTGTACAGAAGTGACCATCTGGATCTCATACAACCACAAAATTCTGCGTGCCCATCGCAACTTGTTATCCGCCCGCCACCGGCAGTGGTAACGGCCTTTTTTCCGGCGGACGCTACTGCCGGATCCACCGTCTCCTCTGCCATGCAAACCGTACCCAGCACGCTATACGATTGGTCGCCCTACTATGGCTACGATTTCATCTGCATCTTCTGCCAGGAAACTGTGTCGAAACTAGGCAGGGTAACGTTTTCCAGTTCCCACCTTAAGCAGCATCTGAAGAGGAGTCGGTATTGTTATGGCAAGAATCTGCAGTTTTTGTGGGAAAAGTTCAGTCAAGGTGTGGAGGATGTCGATGATCCGCTGGTGAATGGGCAAGTGAAGCGCCAGTTAGTGTGTCTGAAATGTAAAACGGCTCGGAAGACCGATCGCTACAGACTGGCATCACCGGATCTTATCGGTGAGTTTTGCATAGTCACTTCCTCTGATTTTTAGTAATGGTTTATAACTCCGACTTGGAATCATAATTCACAGCCTACTGGTTACACTTTATCAGCAGTTGTTTTTTCATCTTGCAGCGCAACATATGCAGCGGTACCACGCCGAAATTCGACCGCTTCCTCTCATCGCAACGGAGCCGCAGGTTGGCGAAGATTAATTAAGCTGCATGAGGCCAGGTAATAAGTGTGTACACACTCGGGGATCAAGGCGGAATCAAGGCGGACAGCCACAGGACCGTGCCATGGCCATCCTGTGACGTGATGCTTTCCTGTTTCGACCATGTTTGGCCACTCGGCAGGTGGAGTTTGTAAATAGTCGAGAAACATTGTAAACTGTTGTCTAGCATCTGTCCTTTGGAATAAAACCATTTAAAACAATCTTTGATTGTCCATTGGCCCAAAACAATATCCTATAAAGTTTGCATTAATTTCCGGTTGCCCGGCTTATGCAAAAAAATTACAAGGATGCCACTTTAGTTCATTTTGGAATTTCAGCCGATGTTAATAAATGAACAGATGTTAGGTAACGCTGTACTACAAATTGTATTTGCACAGGTGACACAGACCATGACAGCAAAACCTTGCTGTCACGGTCCGGTCCGCTCAACTTGCGGTAACCCCGTGTCTTGTATCCGTTGTCATTAAATATGTATGCCGTAAATTACGTTGTAACATTTTACCGCTTGGAATGAAACAGTGTGTCACGACGTGAGCGTTGTGCTCTTTAATAATAATCGACTGAATAACTAGAAACACAAACACAAACAAGCAAGCTGGCACTGGTGAGGTTACCATGCATACCTCATGATACCTGCCTTTGGCGCAGTACTCGTTCGCTTCAGGGCAGTTTTTTAATGAATTACTTGGTTTTATGCAACACCAGCTCAAGCCCTAATTGCAGTTCACTCTGTGCAATAACTTAATTGTCCGCTTGTCAAATCTGTAGTACAATTGCAGCCTTGGACAAATTACGCTTTGTGCCAAGGTGGGTGCTAGATGCTAATGATCAAGTAGTAAATGGTGATCATCATATACAGCGCAAGTGCTCCCTTGTATGCAATCAAAACGATCAACAGGCAGGATCCCTTTGAACATTCGCCGCAGTTTTCACCAGTGGGAGCCAGTGCCGTTGAAGGATGGCTATCCAGCGTTTTGCCCATCTCCTCATCCGCAATTTCGTTGTAATCTTCACCGAAAGGAGCCATGCATGTCCAGAACACACCGGCAAGAATGGACTGGGAGAGGAATACCAAGCCGCTCAATCCGTAGAAACCCACAATAACGGAGCGCAACGACGCCGCTTTTGCGAAGGCGTTCCGGAATCTATTGATTATCTCTTCGTAATGGTCCTGCGTGGCTTTGGTTCGGCTACTTTCTTCCGGAGTCAGTGGTGCCCGTGTTCCGTTTTCCATGAATTTACTCCGGATTTGCGACATCACGGCAGTGATGTCCAAAGGGGAGCGCCGACCGGGGTTTCCGAATGCGAAGAGGAAGGTCCGCAGCACTAGCAGCAGACCAAGGGTGGCCAACACTGCCAACAGACCGCGTACCAGCAGCAAATCCGTACAACCCAAATGTCGGAGGCATTTCCAGCTGCGAAATGGCAGTTTCAATTGGAAATGAACAGCGAGGACGAGCAGCGCGCCAGACACGGCCGCAGAGATCGGTGTACCGTGGTGTACCAGAGTGGACGGACCATAACCTGCAATGTAAAAATCGATGTATTGCAGATGCACAAAATAAATATTGTACAGATGAATTTTTTAAAAAAAGTGTTCCTCTGCTTGGTAGTTGGTATATAAATGATGAAGAGAGCGCTGTTTTGGCGAACGACGCCCCCCCACCCCCCGACATGCGCAGGCGGGTGACGATTGAAAAAATGCATCCATACGGGCGAGTGACGCCGGAGAAAAACGTACAACGAGCGAGGGGCTGACCATACGTAGCGTAAAACAGGCTATAGTACACTATGCATGAAAAAGTCTGTATGAATATAAATGACTACTGAGTGTGAAATATGAGTTGCCTTCACATTCCCCTTCCATCCTCCGTATTTAGGCAACAGTAAACTGATTTGCCTTCGCATTCTACCTTTTAAAAGATGACCATAGGTAGTGTTCAAGATGACCATAAGTAAAAGCCGCCCATAGGTAGTGTTCTATATGACCATAAGTAAAGGTGACCATAGGTAGTACAATAAATGACTATAAGTAAGATCTGAACATAGGTAGTAATGTAGATAACCATAAGCAAGTTCCTTACAGACGGTTCGTTCGGCTTGATGCGGCTGACCATACGCAGAAGTCGTAACCATACTGAACAATGCAGATGACCATACATTTTATCGTAAATGACGAAGTACCACACTCCACTCTACATATCTGATTTGATTGAAACAAGAATCCACGTAGCATAAACAAACAGCAAAAATCAAAATCGAGCAAGCACGGATAATATAAAGGGCGTAATAATAGGTAAGTTGTCTGTAAAGTTAAAGTGGAAAAAAAGGGGTTAAAAAAGGCACAAAATACCAAAGAAAATCGAAAAAAGTGACCGCCTTAGCAGCAAAAAGAAATACGAAACACATCAATGACAAAAATACCGCGATCTTTCACTCTGCATCGTTAAAATAGCAATGAGGCCACGTCCAGAATGACTTCCGCTTCTTTCCTTTTTCGGATGATTGGTACCGCGAGCCAGCCTTAAACCCTTCGTGAACGAGCGGCATTCGTTTACCTAGGCGCGTGGCCAGAGCAACGTCATCCAGACTGGTAGGCATACGGATGGTCTGCAAGTGCTCGCGGAACTTGCGCGCTGCTTGGAACGGTCGAATCGCTAAAATTAAATAAGGTATTATTGATTGTAGTTAATTATTTTGTTTAAGATTCATTTACTTACATTTTTCATCAGATGGATCATAAACGATATTTTCATGGATCCACTGATCCACGACATCAGTCGAAATCGGGGGCTCGTGAATTTGACCTTGCATTAATGATGCGTCCTGACGGCGCTGAGAGACCGGCAGGAACTGTTCTAGTTTCCATTCACCTTTCTTAAAAAACAATGTTTCAAAATATTTAAAAAAACAACATTTGATATAAGAAAGCTCAAAGGTAGTTAACATTCACAAATTTAACTTACTCGGCGCAAGTAGGCGTAATTAACATCGACATCGAAATTCGACCGCTTCTTGAGATACTTCCGGATTTTTTCGAGTTCGGGTGTGACATCAGTTTCTGGATCACACTTACAAATAACCGACTCGGCAAATGCCGGTATCCAAGCCGGTGTGGTGATCGCCGTTGCGGTATTAACACAATATCCTGAATTAATCCCACTATGGTAAGCTCCGTAAGCGCTTATTATCAAGTCTCCCGGCTCCTGATCAATTTCATCGACAAGAATGTCCTCATCACGGAGATTATCTGGTTCAACGATAAAGTTCAGGTGGCTCACGGCACCACCACAAACCTGGAACTCTTCGGGGAAGGTTTTATACAGGTAATTATCGAAAGCCCACTTGCAGCGAGGGGGGGTAATACGCCAACGCTTAGCCTTGCCGACATGATGCATATTCAAGAAGGCACAATTGGCCACCTCTACATGATACCCAAAAAAGGTCTCGGGGGCACCGAGGAAACCGGTGGAGGTGTTAAACCCGGGAATGTCCACTCCAGATTCACGGAGAATGTCCTTGAACGAGTTAAAGTCGAAGAACTCCATTGTTTGTAGACCGTCCAATTCAGGGATGTGGATGTCCGCAGCATACCATTTTCCACTGTCAGCGAGCTCCTCAAAACTTAAGTTAAGAGAGCTTTCCCCCCGGCTTGCGTCGCGATAATCCTGGTATGTTATAACTCCTTCTTCTTGCACCTGTGAGTAGTAGCAGCCGGAAACTCGCTCATGTAAGATAGATCTTTTTGCATTTAATTCTCGAACTGCGGAGATTTGCGGGACACGTGTTCGGCAGTTTGGGGGTATATTAAGCACAACATAACCAGGTTTCTCAACCTGGTGTTCCAAACACTCATGGATTATTTGCCCGATGCGAGGCATTTCGCTAACTGTAATGTACCGCTTACGACATCTGGTCTTGGTCGACGCCATTTCAAAATTTTTTAAAAATAAAGTAATGCAACAGTAATCATCTGATCGGTAAAAATAATCTTCATCTGTATGTCAACGAAAAGCCCGCCGTTTCCATGGTGCGAGCATCCGCGTTTGACAGCTAGCTAACGATGCTCTAAACAATGATGGCACTGAAGTATTGTTATACGCAACTGGAAAACAGTCAGAGAGAATTCGCAGTAGCGTAATAACTCTCTGGCTGATAAAGCTCCCCGGATCAATACTACGATTATTTCAAGAAGTATAAGGAGAAGAGGGCAACTGCTGCACCGGCTCGTCGGTTAATAGGTCAAACCTGATGGCTAGGAAAGTTTCTTTCAAGCTATATATAGATGATAACGCGACAACAGAACGCTCCTTTCGAAGTAATATAATTATTAAATGCAAATCAAATACTTCTTTAATGAGGTTTATGATCATGCAAGCGATGATCGGATCCCACACTATGCTTCTAAAACAATTCTACAAGCGTAACTTTCAGGTACTTTTACTGCATTTACTTCTTGATTACGGTACACAGGACTTCCATAAAGAACACAAAGCCACGAGCCCTGGGTAATCAGCGGTCCAGAAAAACATCTTAAAACGCAGCACATAAAACTGAAAAACTGCTCAGCAAACTGAGTTTTGTCTCTATAATGGATAAACCCGCGATCGAAAATATGAAAAAACTGTTAAGCAATCGAATTTCGTCTCTACATGGAATAAAACCACGATCTAGTCAGGATCGCGTCCAATAAAGAGAAGGAAATGAAGGAGCAGGAAAGCGAAAAGCAGTGTGTCATTGAGAGCTCCGGCTAGCGGAAGGCCGGCGAGGAGGAGACAGTATCGATGACGTCGGTAAAGACCAACGGCACGGCGCTGCACCCCCAGATATGCTGAAGATTAACCGACAAATTCAATATTATATTTTAATTAATATTTTGAGTGTGCCAACAAAAATCCCGCAACCAAAAAACTGCTGGTATTTTATAAATTTTGTTGGCACTGAATGGAGCAGTGCAGTTAAAATAGATGGAGAAGATGATCTCGACACTCTAGGTAAGGAAATAAAGATGATTTATATGTTAATTGCATTCCGCGCGGTATTACTTCAGCAATCTACGGAGTGAACGACTTCAACACCTGCAGCCGAACAGTTACTTGACATAATCTGTTACGTATTCGCACACTGCTGATCATACTCGGCATAATTATCATTTAATTAGATATGACTAGTTCCTGCAAATGGCATACCGGAAATTGGCAGCGCATCGATTGCCATAGGTGTTCCCATCGCTGCTACGCACGGATGCCCATTCCATAGTGCAGATCACTGCTGCTCAGAACGGACCGTGGTGTGCCGCTGCTACGCCAAGAACCACATTAACTCGATCACTAAGCATAACATCCGGTGACCTTTTTGAAGGGTCTCCGAACCGGCGAGTGGTTATTGTAGGTCTCCCCATTGCGGGCGCACACGGGCGTATATTCCATGGTGCAAATAACAGCTTTCCGGCATCCACCATCATGAACAATTGCTGCTTCTACAGGAAATCGTCTTTTTACCAACAGATTACTTATTGAATTTGCCAAGGATTACTGCACCCGTAGCACAGCAGTGCATCGATTGCCGTAAGTGTTTCCAGCGCTACCGCATACGGGTGCATACACCATAGTCCATGGTGCACATAACCGCCCCGGGGCTCCAGTGTGGGCTACCGGCACGCCTTGAGCTCGATCTTCCCGGTATTATCGGCGAATTAATACCCGTATCAAGGCGGCAGTAGATGCAGCCGCCGACATGTACTCGTATGTTTCTCGTAAGTACAACTTATAAGCGACTTACCGAAGTATTTCTCATCGTCGTAGTCGTCTTCATCGCTCAGATTCTGCCGCGCCAGCTCCTACTCCAGATTGGCCAGATTCAGCTCCACCGGAACGCTAGCCGACTTCTGTTCGCCACTGTTGACCACAGCTGTGGGCACGCGACCCAGGAGAGTACTGTAGGGTATAGAAAGCGCTCCTGGGCTGTACGTTACTGCAGTGACCTCGTGTGCTACGCTTACTCTTAATCATGGCGTAGAAGGTTCAGCAGATATGCGTACTTTAATAACCGGATGTGGTAAGTATTATCTGTTTATACTGTATTCACAGCAATATACTCGTATATGCAAACCAATCGTGCAACGTAATTGTCGTATCGCAACGCCAAAAATGCTTTGGGATAGCTCGAAAGTGGAAAATATGCCGGGTTTATGAGAGTCCGATAGATTGTACCTTGTACATTGTACCAGACCAATCCCGTTAAGTGAACTGACCTTGGCATCCGACCTGGCGGTCGGTGCTGTAGGTGGTCCCGTCCACACCACAGACTGGTCGCCACATACTGGTAGCCGGCAACAGACACATCAGCTTGGCCTGCACTTCAGCAACAACGTTATTACTGTACAATTTTGGAATAAAAAACCTGATGCTAGCTGGTTTAAATGTTATGTTATCAATATTACAAGTACAATGGGCGCGCGCACAGTCCCGCAGCCGCATCTCAGCTTATGTGTGGTACATACATTACTTAGCGACCACCGCCACTACCAGAGAAAGTGCCAGAACAATTAGAGCGCCTGCCATTTTTGTCAGGTAATTAGTAATTTTGAGTCTGCGCCCGGAAGTTAGAACTAAATCAGATGATATAGCTTACAAGAGAAGTGGCTGGTTTATAAAGCAATCAAGGTATAGTGAGAGCCATAATTAACCATCTCCATTTTCTCCACCAAGACGATAAACGCCGGACGATAAGTTTGTGCCAGAGACAATGACGCGGTGTTACGCTGGCTATTTCAGCGTTAAGAATAAATATGATACAGCTACCTTTACATTTTTCGATAAATAGCGGTTTCCGTGCACCTCTTCAACCAGACCTATTTCCTTCTTATGGCGGCTTTATGCATTAAACAGCAGAATTAGTATTGGTTACATAGTACACTAATGAAGATAATGATGAGATTTATTCTGCAATTAAAATGACAATTTAGCCGTGTGATAAACGTGCCATAATTCCCGGGATATGCCTTTATGATATCAGCTGTTTTTATTGAGAACGTGATCTCCTGCATTTGATAAGGTACCTGTCATGCGCGCCCGCAGAAGCGTGAATCAGTCAGGCATATGGAACTGCGGGCGGATTGATGGTTGTTACCTTATCAAGAATGCCGTTCTAAAAATACATGCTGCTTCCGCCGGTAGACGGCCCAGCTTCTGCATTAAACTGTCGCACATTTCGTCGCCGGTGCCTGTGATCAGTGCCTTACAATAATACGCCGTCTACGTTTTACAGTAAGGTTCAGCATTATCTATTAGATCCCGTAAATTATCACCCCACTAGTAAATCTCGTGTAGTATTCATTAACGTGCAGCATGCAAACATCAAGCGTACAGTAAATTAAGCACACTCTATTACGTATATACGTACTCGTACATTGTTGCACCTGGTGCATCGGCGTGTATTCGCTCTTTGTGCACTACAGTGCAGTACGTACTGGGGCTATCACAAAATATTATTAGAGCATAAGAGCAGATAATACTTTCTTTACACAAGCAAGCGCGGGGAAAAACATTGCTTCAATATGTGAGAGGAATGATACGTGCGTACGTACCGCTGCATCGATAACAATAATTTAGAATATTATCACATCCATAATTCAAGATTACGCACATCCAACCTGAGTCAAAAACTATCAATTACGAAAATCGTAATTCATAAAAATAATTATAACGACAAAGTGGAACCTGTAAACATAGGTATATTTTTAATTATTAAACCACCGCATTACGATAATCGGAACACTAAACACGGTACAAATCACCTTACGTACAGTACAAACCGTAGATAGTATGGCAACACCGAGTAATTCGATTTTTATTTGAAAGAAGTAAATTAATATTACGTGCACAAATTACGGATATTCAAAACTTACTAAAACATAAATAAAGTACTTAAAAAGTAAGATAAAACCATTTTTTAAATACTTATATCAACACGACTTACACTTTACTTTCCGGTAGAGATAAAACCGATACAAGCAGATTAGCGGTTAATGACAAATTTCCGTGCGGTTGTATCGTCCTGGTGCTTTCCATTGAACCCGACTGGTGTAAATCGGTAGAGGCGCCAACTTCATCACAGGCGCCAGCTGTTGACAAGCTGTTAAGCGATGCAGAAAAAAACTAGCAAATGAGGAGTTAGGAATGGCGATTATTTTGCTGTTCCCACGCATCCTTATCAGTAGAAGCGTACCATAGTTACAAAAAGAAAAAGGAAACAGAGAAAACACCGATTCTTCAATAGACATGACTCGTGAATTACAAGCACTGGCTACAATTTTTATCTTTGATTGTCACTGAAAGAAATTTAAATGTTGTGGCACTGATGGACTGAACTATTTCCCCAAGCTGAAAATTGCTAACTGCTTCAGGATAATTTCTTCTGGTGCATTTCGGTTTCCTTATTGAAATTTTGGTCGTTTAATTATTGTTTTTTGCGCACGCCAACATGTGGCTCGGACTTTGTGTGATCGTTTTAGCAGCTACTTTGTCAGCTGCAAATTCTGTACAATGCCCGCGATTCTGCATTTGTACTGCAGCCCTATGGAAATGTAATGACCACCGCCTGACGACATGGCCCTTGGACAACCAGCCGAAAGATATAGTTTCCGGTGTTCGCATTCTGGACATGAGCAAATCCGGCGTTTATGTGCTGCCCAACTGGCGTCCGACTTTAAATTTTCCGGATTTGCAAGTCATTGTTCTTTCCGGCACGACCTTTGACGGACACCGTTGCCGAGAACTGGAGTGTATTGAGCAACTCGGTGTTAGGGTCATCTCTCGCTGCGGCGCAGGTACGTAACATGTAGTTACCATAGGTAAACGTACGTTAGACCACAGATAAAAGAATGGTTTGATTCTATGTAAAACTAAAAGTCTGTTAGACTATAGGTAAAATTACGGTTGACCATATGAAAAACTACGACCGACAATATTTAAAACTATTACTGCCGCCGCATATTTGCTCGTTCAAAATGCTGTTCCAAAAGTAGATTTATTAATAACTGAAATTAATTTCTTGTATCGACGCTGGTACGTATCACGAGGTGACAATAGGTACGAGTACGTTAGACCATAGGTAAAAGTATGGCTGATTTTATTAAAACTAAAAGTATGGTGTGCTATAGGTAAAATTACCGTTGACCATATGTAAGACTACAATCGGTAATATTTAAAACTATTACTACTACCGCAAATTGGATCCTTGAAAATGATGTTCCCAAGGTAGATTTTATTTATTACTGAATTTCGTTTTTTGTATCGGCGCTGGTACGTATCACGAGGTGACCATAGGAACAAGTACGTTAGACCATAGGTGAAAGTACGGCTGATTCTATGTAAAACTAAAAGTATGTTAGACTATAGGTTAAATTACGGTTGACCATATGTAAAACTACAACGGACAATATTTAAAACTATTACTGCTGCCGCACATTGGCTCGTTGAAAATGCTGTTCCCAAGGTAGATTTTATTTATTACTGAATTTCATTTTTCGTATCGGCGCTGGTGACCATAGGTACGAGTACGTTAGACCATAGATGAAAGTATGGCTGCCTCTATGTAAAACTAAAAGTATGTTAGGCTATAGGTGAAATTACGGTTGACCATACGTAAAACTACGACCGACAACGTTTAAAACTATTACCTCTGCCGCACTATTGCTCGTTAAAAATACCTTTTCTAAAGTAGGTTTTTTGCTGACTGAATTTCAATTTTTTATTCGTTAATCCAGAAGGACAAAACTAAGAGTCGAAGAAAATGTTGATGATCGGACAACCATAAGTAAACTACGACTAACTATAGGCAAGAGTGCGGATTAACCGCAGGTAGGTGTTAATCAACCAGGTTAATGCCAATAAAAAATAAAGCGTTAAAATTAATATTGAATAAAAAATCTGGTTATATGCAAGGACGAATAACGGAATTATTTTCTATGATAATAGGTACGATTTTCTGATTGTGTATTTACAAACAGTATTTAAAGAGGATTGATCTTGAAAGATCAGTTTTTAACTTGCAGATTTACGTAAAGGCTGCTCGCACGCACCATGCTGTCACTGGATGGATCTGCCACCCATTTTCCCACCATGGATTAGCGCGACCACACCCTACGAAACACATACGGTTCCACTTCATTGGTCTTCCACGCAGGCGGCTGTCGATGTCTCGACACATGATACTAGTTCTACTACTGATGGTAAGGACGATTATTCCAGTACAGTTCAAAGTACGATCAGTGAAAGTCTGCCGGTAAAAGCTATGAGCGTGACAACGTCCACTGAACGTGTCGACTTTTATGATTCATCTGCAATTACTGATCCACAACCTCTGGACCCAGATCTGGTTACCGCTGAGTTATCTTTCGTAACCACTTACCATCCCACCGCTATTTCAGCAATATCCTCGTTATATACAGAGCCGTCTGTTTCCAATGGATATGCGGCTAATCACCCCGCGGTGACGTCTAGTTTAAACGTGTCGTAGCACCTGATTAAAGACATCGATAACGTGTCAGAAATCGATAACGATAAAAGTCAGTTTGAACAGACAGAAAAAGTTTACATAATGGAACGCGAGGAAAAATCCTCGTTTAGAATCGAGAGTGTGTCAAAAAATGTTAGTGCGAATTCCACGGTTATTAGTTTTATAAAAAATACGAGCAGTCAATTGATTCCGAATTATCTGCGACCGTCCCATTTTAATGAAACCGCGGAAGCTATTGCTGTGTCAACTTCGTCAGAATATAGCGCGGTATATCCTGAGAAAGCGCCAAAAAACGCGGGCCTTAATTTTACTGTACCTATTTCTTTCGATGAAGACAGCAATAAGTCGCTGGCATCAACCTCCGTTGATTTTGATTACAAGTTGTTTTTTGAATCGTCGAATTTATCTGGTCTTGTTTCATGGAGTCAGGAAAATACGTCGCAATTAGTAATGGATTTTGCTGATTTTATAATCAACGACACGGCGTATATATCAGTTGATTTTGCGGAGAATTCGCTTTTTAATTTTTCTTCTTCGTCTGATGTGGTGAATAATGAAAATGCAACTTTCATTCATGTGCATGATGATAATTCCACTGTGGGACGCGACATTAACAACGAGACGGGTGAGCAGTGCCACTGCCGCTTATTCTATACTCTGCTGTTAATATGAAAAACAATGCGTTGTAGTACACGTCTGCCCTCCATGCCCATCGTGTTTTACAGGGCAACCAACTCCGACACCTTTGGAATTTGGTGTAGGTGGTGTGGTCGGCGTCACAGTTGCTGTTATTGGATGCGTTTTAATTGGAGCTTTCCTGCTTTTCCGCAAGCGCGAGAAAATCCGCAGTTTTTTCCATCGGACGGCCGAACCTTCTGCCCCCGTTGAAGAAGACGCTCCTGACAATTTCAACAACGAAAATTATGTCGGCCCCGGCGAGCAACCCGAAGGTATGAAAAATGTTTTTGCCAAAAATCGCAGAAATTAAAATAGTGTAAAAATAGATAAGAACTGCGCTAACCAGACGAAAATTAAATTTATCTGTCTTAAGTCGTACCGATATGGATAAAAAATTATCAATCATACGTTCACATACATTTGTCTACCCTCAGCAGAGAACGGTGCCGCCAGCGGAAGTGAGTCCGTTAGCAACGGCAACATCGGCGACGATGAATTGTTTCTTAGCGCTGTTGATTTGGAAGATGAAGGTACAATCATATGTAATCTGCTCCGCTATCGTTTACCAGTGTAAAAATAATTTAAATAACTAACAGCGCGGATCGGTGATGGAGTCGTTCGCTCACAACCTGGACCCGCGAACGATGCGACTCTCCAACGTGTGGTCCCAGAGCGCCAACACACCGGAATTCCATCGCGGGATGGCTGCATATTCCGCCAGCGTCATTTATGACACTTTGGCCCGCGAAAATGAAGGCGCTGCTGCCAGTGGCATTCGGTTGTGGCGTAGTTGTGAGAGATTCAGACATGAAGAGAATTAACATTTTGCTTTGATTGCTATCTGCGTAACAGTGTAAATTCGCCAAGCCGGCGACGAGAATCATCTTGAAAAAAAATTTCTTGCTGTTTAAATGGATTATTTTAAAATTGCAATTGCTGTTTTTGCGTTCTGCTATCAATTCATTTGCTTACGTATTTGTTTTTTGACCGTATAGCCACATTTTATTTTGACCATATTGTAATTCTTCTGTTAATGGTGGTATGATTTTCTCCTATAATTCTGATTGTATTCTTGCGTTTTTTTAGCTTCTTTTAGTTTAGTTAGCTTTTTATAAAAATAAATTCCTTTCAAGCGCCCTTTACGTGCGATACCGTTGTATCTACAAGTTCAAAAATGAAAATATGTAATTATTAGTAAATCAGAGGTAGAAAAAGTTTAAGAAGATTGGTCTGAAAATATTGCTGAGTAATGTTTTTCCCATTGTACCGAACCTCAAAGAAATATTACCGAACATAGATTTAACCATACCGACCATATGATGTAATATTACTGACCATAAGATAGAATGTCCATTCAATTACCTCCAATAAGCGCCCGATTTCTTAAAATGTCTGCATTTTTATATCACACTGACAACATGGCAAAATAAAGACGACCATATGTGCTACGATAATTATGAATACCAGCCACCAGCACTCAAGTATCCTTAATATACCTATATATATATTACACTGACCATTGGACCACTGATGCTGACCATAGGAGCTACATGGTTACCTCGCGGGCGTACGTGGTGTTAGTAAACGCTGTGGTAGTTCGGCAAGGTAGAATGAACAGTAGCATGACCTGAGTGGTTTAATTTGTAAGTTAAAATATAATAATTATAAACCGGCAATCCCATGGTAACTGCAGTCCAAAACTTTTTCAAGTCCGATGTTTATTGTTTTATCAGGCTCATCTTAAACGTTAAGCACAGCCTTCATGCTTGGTAACGTAGACTTTTGAGTGACAAGCAAAACAGCACACACATAAACGGCGTCTTTTACGTACGATAATAGTCGCGCAACGGTTACAATGTTGACACTGCACATAAAATTTGAAATAATTTTTTAAAACCTGGTGAATTTGCCGAAAATGAAAATGACCATAAATTTCCAAACATGTATATTTATCGTAAACGTCTACCGATGAATTTCCGGTAACCGTATCGATATCTGCAGCACTTCCTGGCATGCAAATTGCAAACGTTCGTAAAGCGTAGCCGATGTAAACGTGAAGTGGAACCAGTTGCTGCTCCATAATGTTCCGAAAATGATAAAAATTTGTCAGACGCGTCTTTGCGGTATTGAAGTAGTGGTAATTTAACAGCGGAACCGGTAAAGGCTGTATAAAAGAACAAAAATGATATATAGTTTAACGAGCAAAAACTGTTTGAGACCGGTATTCTTACCAAGGTCAGTGTTAAATTGTGAAGGCTTGTGCCAGGTAGCGGCTCCTCACCGCAAAACAATATCGATTCTGTCGGCTCCGGTGATGTGTTTCGCGGCGTTCCACTTCCCAAGCGAATTGGCGCCATTTCAGCTACTGATAAAAGGCGGCAAATCCAAAATTTCCAATAATTGTTTATGATAATTATGCAATATAATAATTAGTAACTGTCGTGCAGAGTCGGCTTTAGCGTTGTTAACTGTCGACCCGGTTGAGGTGACTAATATTTCTTCGTTAGGAACACTGGCCTGATAATTAAAAATAGCGGGTTCTACCGAAAGAAGTTTTTTAAATTCAACATCAAACCCCAGTATGTTTGCCAAATTTTCCAAAAAATTAGGGTAAATTAAAGGGTGATCAAATGACGATTTTTCTAAACACTCGAGCAATCTAGAATGGTAATTTCTTAAAATAACGGCAAGCAATCTTTTTGCAGCGTCCTGTTTTGCAGTGTGTGGACTTCTACCAACACCTACCGCAAAGATATCTTCCACACTAATACCGGCACGCTGCTTGCAGATCGGTGGTTCGTTTTTGTTTCGAGGTATAGTTTTATATGTAACCTCAAATGCTAAAATTTTTCCGACAGCATTTGCAATGTTAGAAAAGTAGCGTCGAACCATTACTGTCAGAAAATGAGGAAACGATGCTCCACTCTGATTTCTAATATGCTTATAAACATTTTCTTCTGCACGGTAGCCGATGAGAAAAGATTTAATCATTTCTGCTACACAGCATGACTGCAGTGATATCTTGATTTCGTAGTTTATATAAGACCGAACGTTAGAAGTTATCAGACAGCTTACTTGGTTTTATCGAACAATATTCTCGGGCGCAGAGAACTTATAGCCTGTATGCATTAATGGTATAAAACTGACTTACTGGAATAACCATTTTTGCGAAGGAATTGATTTTGAGGTGAGTGCACTAGAAATGGTGAAGACAAGCGCAACAACTAAAATCTCGTCAGCGTCTGTAAATCGTCGCAAAGCGACTCTGTTACGCAGTTTATTTACGGACATTTCCTCCCCAGCTTATCTAGCCAATGAAATGGCGTTGTACCGCATAGCGAAGGATAGATCAAAAAATTTAAATTTAAGTTTTTCGAGAAAAGACGTAAAAGATTTTCTGGCGCAGCAAGATGTATATACGCTGCACCGTCCCTTACGAATAAAGTTTAAAAAATTAAAAAATTTCTGCGTAGGAGTGGACAACGTCTGGCATGCTGACCTTGTAGAAATGCAAAAGCTTAAGCGATTTAATCTTCGTTTTCGCTACATCTTGACTATGATCGATTGTGTCAGTCGCTTTGCATTTTCGCAACCTTTAAAAAATAAATCAGCCATTGCGGTTGCGGAAGCAATGGGTCGGCTTTTTGAAAAACGTCACCCCAGTGTTTTAGTGACTGATGCCGGGAAAGAGTTTGTCAATGAAAAATCGCGGGAGGTGTACGCAAAATATGGCATTTATCACCAGATATCAAGTTCTCGCCATAAAGCCGCCTTAGCTGAACGGTTTAACCGTACTCTAAAAATGATTATATTCAGGCATTTAACATTTACAAAAAATCCCAACTGGGAAAACGCCCTGCAAAATATTATTGAAAACTATAACAATCGTGTACATACCGGGCACAAAAAAAAACCGAAAGAAATAACCCACATGAATCAAGCATCTTTATTTAAGCAAGGACAGGAGAAAAAGTTTATAAAGCTTCAGAAACCGGCATTTAAAATTGGTGATCGCGTTCGAATCAGTTTGAAAAAAAATTCCTTTTCTAAAGGTTACACAAGAAATTTTTCGGACGAATTATTTCAAATTTCTGAAATAATTTATGGACCGGTCATTACGTACCACATTGCCACAGCCGATAGCCGACAGGTACTGGTGCGTGATGGAAGTCGTGTGGCGCAATTTTATAAACAAGACTTAACTTTAGTCAGGTCAGCATTCTACTTTGTTATGTGTGTTGCGTAGTGCAAAGTTTTTCTTAAAATAGGTAAAAGCAATGGAGACCGGTTTCTACGTTCATCTTCACAGCGGAGCAAATCCTACCAATGAAGCACTCTCGATACGTAACACGGCTACTATGTTCTCAAGCAAACAAAACTATCCACCGCTGACGTTCCGAGAGCAAGAACAACAGTGGGAAGTTGCACTAGTGCGAATATTCTCGTCTGCTCAGTTAACACTTATTCCATTAGAGCAACGCCAACTTACATTGTTTGTTCACGGACAATTTCTTCATGGATTTATGACGCAATCTGATTTCCAGTCTACACCAGCGATCTTGGTTGATGGCGTACAACGAGAAATAACGCGTATTATGACTGCTTACCCTCAGTTTTCTAAGCCAAAGCTTGGATTAAAGGCAGGGAGGTTCGTTTTTGAGAGTGGGGATGAAGGAATACAGCTGGTCAATAGAGGAAATCTTTTAACGATAGCTCTGGGATTACCAAGAGAAGAGGGTGATCCCACACCCGTTCAGGCAGTTGCTAATTCTTTTGTTCCAGACCAAAATTTCCGTATGCATCGAGATACGACCACCCTTCGGAATAAAAATGTGGTAGATAACACAAGGGGGAGAGGGCAGGTTATCTTTTCAATGAGTCATTTAATGTCTTCTTATGGTAATTTATCCGATAAAATTATTGGCATGGCCACTGTAGATCAACTTCTGAAAGGATATGAGCCGTACCATCTTGCGTACTTCCCAGTTCAGAACTGGTTTTTTTCAGCCAACCCGTTGTTTATCATTCAGTCTGACTGGAAAATGCTTTGGGGCGAAGACGTTTTGGGAGAAACCACGGTGACCTTGCATTATCGCAAATGCAAATCAAGCGATGGATTTAAAGACAGATTTTACGCCTACTGAGTTTGCAAGATTTTTAACCTGTGTAAGAATCATTCATAATTCTTATCAGACACTGCAATCACAATAAATTATATCGAGCTTTCGCTTTGCGGTTCTATTAAAGTAGCGGTTTAGTATATAAGGCATGGCGCAGTGAACGGATAAATACATAAAAGTGCAGTTTTGATTTTATCTTTCGAAAACGGCTTACCGAAAGAAGAAAAAGGCTGCAAAGAGGCGATTAATAAAGCGTACCACGGTACAAACTGTCTTTGTTGGACGTAAATCTAGACGGAAGAGTAGAAAGCGCAAACGTTCAATTCGTACTGGATTGTTTAAGAAGATGATTCGGGGTAAATCACTTGCTTCAGTTATTTAATCGGAAAAATGTCTACAAAAAATCAATCAACTGTGGAAAAATTTCCTGATGAGTTGCAACTTTTTGACCCACCAATATCACAATCCATAATAGAAGAAAGTTATAAAACGGAAGTATTACCGATAAATCAGATAGTTAACAATTCTGATGTAATAGAATTTCTCCTTCCGCCTACTGAGAACTACTTAGACCTGGCTGACGTCTTGCTGTATATGCGCTGCCAAATTTTAGAAAACGATAAATCCAGGCCACTAGGCTTGATAAAAGCTAAAACGACTTCCATCAAAAGAACACTTTCAGGTACAGAGATCGCAAGTCAAAATACAAACGATGCCGTTCAACCAGGAAGTAATGGTTCTGCGGCAAGTAATTCAGGAGGTCGAATACTGCCCAACACACGTAATCCACCAAACAACAGCAACCAACCACCTGCAAACGTAGATTACACAATTGATCCTTTAGCGGATCCTCAGATCGCAGCTGCTTTAGCCAGCTTAGACCCTGCTGAGAGGGACCGATTATCAAAACAGATTAGCACAAAGGGGATCCGCGATGCGGCGCCGGTGAA